ACTCTTCCCCCGGCAAAACGAAACAGAATTTAATCAAAGGGAAACTGGTTCTGGCTTTCCAAACGATATTTATCCGAACAAACCTGGCAGCCCTTTCAGCGGCAGCCTGCGTGCCAAAGGCTCGGCGAAATTCCGCGATTAGTAAAAGTAAGTGACCGAGCCTCGTTAATTAACGAGCGACCGTCGACGTCGATTGCGCGTCGCGACAAATTGCTCGACCGACCGTCCAAGATGGCGGAAACTGCTCCCATTACATCCGGAAATCAGAACCCCGCCTCCTATCTCGCTTTTTAAATCTACCGCCACGGCTCCCGCGGCGCTTTACCAGCGACAGGCTCATTTTCAGCTTCGATCCGCGCGATGTTTAACCAGGCGGGCAGACGCAGCGGGTTCAAAGGATGAAACCGACAACCTAGTTATTTTCCTTCGAGTTATCCGGCCGGCGCGACGAGCCGTGCGTGTAAATCGTAAAAACCAGGCCGAATCGTTGGCTCCCTCGTCTCTTCGACGATTTTCCGTGTGCATTCGCGTTGAAAACAGCCTCGCTACCGAGAATCGAACTACTTTCGCCGGAATCGCAGTTACTTTCGTTTTTTCCCCAGAATGTTTCATACTCGTTCCGTTCAACGGCGTGAGCTTCCGTTTAATGTTCCATACCAGGAATGCGTTTTTAGGAGGCGAAGATTGAAAGAAGTAATTTTTGTAATCTTTCGCGAGCCATTCGACGAGAGAGCAGCGGAGTAATTAGCGAAATGCCAAGAGTCTGGAACACATTCTGTAAATAAAAGCGCTACGATGTTTCAAGCGACGTCGCTGATGGGAATCCTTTCAGGAAATCCTCCGCGATTGCGCGAGTGATATAGTTATGTTTATGTAAGCTAAATATAATGTGGTTACACAGGTTATGCAAGCTAAAGTTTTACATCGTTAAAATCGCGAAACGATTTGCTCAACGATCCTATATTTTATTCATTCGCACGTGTGAACGCGCGCCGCGAGGAACGAAGGCCGAAAGCGTAGTCCTGTGCGATAGTCCATAAAAGTTAGGAACCCGCAGTAAACATCCGCTGACTGGACATGCGTCACGAGATTTCAGCGCTGTTAGACACTGAAAATCACCGGGAAACAATGTGATTCTGCATCGAGGAAACTGCGGTACTTTCGTGTCCTTTATTGTCGTCGTAAACTGGTTTCTCCAGCCATAATTATTAAACCGACGGAACCTCCTGTTTGAGCTCCCATATTCTACAATGGAATACATATTCGGCATAACCAAGAATATACGTTATCTATCTACTCAACGAACTACTTAAAAATATTCATTACTTATATACTCAACAAAATACTCAGAGATATTATTTTGTCATTCAGTAGACTTCGAAATTATACATTTTCTATCCTACTAACAAAATATCTAAAAATATCCATTATCTAGCTACCACAAAATCTACTACATTCAGCTATTCGACAAAGTGCCCAAAATTATGCATTATTTACATACTCAACAAACTACTCAAAGATACGTATTATTCGACTATTCCGTAAATACCTCAAAATTCTACATTCCCCAATTCACCAACAAAATGCCCAAAAATATAAATTACCCGGCCACCACGAGATCTACAAAAATACGCATTACTCAGCTCCCCGACAAAGCGCCCAGCAACGTGCATCGGAAACTCGAAAAACCGCTCGCGTTCCTCCAGATAAGATATCGACGACCGACACAATCTAGCAAGAGCAACTTTCAAAAGAAACACCGTTATCGGGGATGACGCGTCGGAACCTTTCCAAATTTTCGAGCGCGTCGATCACGATACTCCGGCGAGCGTAGCTCGCCGGGAACGCAGGAGGGCCGCTCGACGCTGCCTTTTATGGTCGTTTTCGTCGTGCCGCGCGTCCGCCTTGTACGCGATACTCGGGCGACAGGGAAACGACACCGACGATCGCCGCTCGAGCGTAAATTGGGCGAGTTTTCCCGACGGCTCTCCACGCGAGCACGGCCGCGCCGCGCTTCGCCGGTGAAAACAGACGACGTTTCCCGTCGTTTAAACGAGCCCGGCGTTATCCTTATCTCGGGAACGATGACGGACGAGGCGGGCGACGGAGCGCGGTGGACTTCGTCGCAGGTGATTTGAATATCGAGGCGAGGCACGTCCGCGTCACCTCTCCTTTATCCACTTACGAAGACACACCGGCGGATAATGAGCCGCTCGCGCGGATCCGACACGGGGAATATTCATCGTCGGTTTCCTCTATTTTTACAATCGAAATACCAGCGTGACGCGGCATTTCAATACTGTTTGCGACGCGATTGTTAACCGTTCACGGAACTGCAGCATGTTTATCCGGCTCGACCCGGTGTGTCACGTACCGCAGAGATGCCCGGTGATTTTTCATCGAAACCGCCGGAGTTTTGGGCAGCTTTAATTCCTGCGCGTGTGGCACGGTAATCCTGAAGATCAGAGTTCCACACGCCTGTCGCGTAACAGCTCCGTTCGGGTTTGAATTGGTTTTTCTGTCGGGAATTATTTTCTGCTTCGTTGTTTGGCCCGCGAAGTAGACGTCGCGATGGTTTCTAACCAAGTTCAAGAGTAACTTTTGAATCGTCCGATGAGATTCTGCTTCGTTGCGCATTCTGACATCGTTCGCGCGAGTCATCGATTAACTGAGTAGTTAGCGCATATTTCTGTATTGTACTCGCGACGGAGCTGCAACTATCTGCTGACTGATGAGACAATACATGTGGAGAGCTCGACACGTTCGCTACCAGCGATTATTTCAGTGACGGTCTCAATTATAATATCTTCAATCCAATGAAACTAAACAGAATATTAGAAAAATGAAACTGAAACGAGTTACTAAATAATGTAGTTTAATTTCTAATAACAATATCCGTGGAATTAATTTCATTTTCAATTATATTTTCTTCAATCCAATGAACCTAAACAAAATATTACAAAGATGAAACTGAAACGAGTCATTGACTTCCTAAATATCGCAGTTTAATTTCTAATAACAATATCCACAGAATTCACTTATTTTCATTATGTAAGATACAGGCTTACGGTCGTCACAAATATATGACGCTGTTAACGAACGCGTCAAATTGAGTCGCGCAAGTGTTTCTGCATAACACTCGCGAGTCTACGATAAAGTACAACTACAATAGTATTATCCATACCAGCGTTATACAGAAAACATGGAGAACAAAACCGTAGTAATATATTTATCCAGTTCACTCCGCTCACCCAATGCATGCTTCTACTTTCCCCGCGCACAGAAGAACCAAGAAAACCATTTCCTAGCTGCGCGTTCTTAAAAACGTTATTACAAGATTCAGCTATTAGCTCCTCCGGCGCAAATGTGTGTACCGAAGATAATCTTATCTTCGAGTTTAACTACCGCCTCCTTCAGTAATTAAAGATTATCCTTGCCTTGTAAACGGTTCGGACAGCGAGGAGCGTCGGTTCGCTGACCAAAACGTCTCGGACCCCTGCGTGGCGTCGAGGCGAGCGAATAAACAAGAAAACGGAGCCGATCTAGGTAGAAAAATGCCCGACGCGGCAATGAGGTTTATTGGACCGGAACCCGGAACACCGTTTACCGGATTGCTCCGTCCATTGATCCACGGCGTTCGAACCTCAATCTCGACACCGAAATAGACTACGGCCTACTACCGGTTGGCACTGTTAATGGATCCGCTGGCGACGCTGCCTACCAGGCCTGCATCTAAGATTCGGGGACACGAGATGTTTAGATCTATTTCAGGCCCGACATAGACCACCTCCGGAAGCCAAATTGCCTTTCCCTCCTCTGCGTGCAACCGGATGACGCACAAAGCCTGGCGCACACTTTACGAATACAGTCGATATTCCAGATCCTTCCGGGGAAGCTATCTCGAGATCTCGTTTCGCGTGATATCATTTTCTACTGGTATTAATCTTACTCGCATCTCCTCGGAATGAACGCGTGTTTCGGATTATGTTAAGTATGAAGATTTAATTGTAGGCTGGTGTTACGGATCGTGTGAATAGTAATGTGGATGAATTATTCCTTTGGAATTCAACGCCTCGGATCGCAAAACCGAGGTTTCATTGTCCGCTACCTGTTGAACGAGGATGAATTAACTCGACGTCCTGCGCAGATGTATAGAGGACTATCTTTAGAAACCTGGTATGAATTAGAAAACACCAATTCGAAGGAACCGCGGGAAACGACGCAAATGGGTCGCGCATGCATCGGTCTCGCGTCTGGCCATGAACAACGGTTTCTACTTGTGTAACAGCGCTAGCGGATTGTAGCTCCAGATTCGCGCGAGAGAGGGACAGCTAGGTTGAGGTTAAAATTTTGTATCGAATATGATCGAAATCCTCGGTTCTCGTCCACGTGTCGTTCGATTACCTCCAAGCTGAAACTGCACGGGGCAAGGGGAAGCTTCCACGCACCACCTAATCCTCTAAGAAGACCCAATAGCACTAAGCCCTCCATGCCCACGCGATATTATGATAATGACCGCAAATTCCGCGAACACAAGAAACCAACGAATATGAAATCCTACGCCAATGTCATTCTCCGTCGTCACATTTCGCAGTTCGCTTCGTTCGCATTGTTTCCGCGGCTAATAACGGGAACGAGTTCGAACCTAATCGTCGTAACGTCGCGATCAAGCATGGACGCGAGCCGACGCCCTTAGCTCGGAAAGGTCTTAGTTCTTGCGTAGCCGGCCGACATCTCGAAAGCGAACCTCTAAATTCCGCCTACGAGAAAAACGAGAGACTCGCGAGTTCCCGCGATTACTCGAGACAAGGCGAGCACCTGGTTCCCCACTCCGTGCACCTGCGAACGGCGGACGGGAGTGCGAGGAGACGGCACGTTGTCGAAGGTGTACACCGGCGTATCCACTCGGTGTCCGTCGAATCAGACCGGCGACGTAGAGGGAGTGGGAGGAGGAGAGGCACGAAAGGAAGGAGCAAGAAAGAGGTGCCGCGAGGAGGGACCTGTGGCTTCTCTGGCGAGTCGCACGGTCGGGCATGTTCCACCGGGTCGTCCGGTTGTCGCCGGGGATCGCGCATTAAAATCGATATCGCGGCGGATCGCGGCGATCCGCCAATACGACCGCGACTTTTATCTCCGACCGCGACGTCGTTCCCGCATAGGTGCGTCGCACGGCTTCCGGCGGTGGCGCGGCCGTGAAATTCGAAATCGAGCGAGGTGCGCGTCGATTCGCGCGTGCGTTCAAAAGTGCTTCGGTCACGGCGCGTCGCGTGTTTCGCGGCCGCCGACGATTCCCAGGAGAAAAGTGCGCCGCCGACGGAATTTCTAAATCGGCCGAGGAGAAAGGCGCCGCTTTCTATCGGCGCTCGATTTTCCGCGAGGCCCGAGCGGCGGCGATCGATCCGTCGGAGGTCCCCGACGCCGACGTACCCACGGCCGCGCGCGACCTTTAACTGCAGCCCGACCGCGGAGCCGTCAGCCGCTAAACAAACGATTAAATTTACATTGTGACGCAACGCTCGCCTGGTGACCGTCGACGGCGGCCCGCGGAGAAGCCAGTTACGAGCCCGCGTACGTCACGGTGGAAAGGGGCGTCCGCGATCTCCGTTTTCTCGATCGCCTTCCCGCGGCGAATCGACGCGCCGCGTCACCGTTGCTCAGCGCCGCGCTCGTTTAACGGATCGACGGGAGTTTCGAACGGGGCAACGCGGTCCTCTTCTCCCTTCGGGGAAAAGTGAAATTTCGCTCGGTGGATCACCCGGTGGATAAATGCGACCGCGCGGCCGCTCGAGCCGCGTTTAGAGCCGTTTTTGCCGCGCGCTGGATGGATTTCGTGCGGTTTTCCTTCGGGGAACTGGGTCATTGGCGATCCGCGCCGGTCGCGCGCCGATAGTATCAGGAAAATTCTGATCCGACGTGTCGGCTACACTGCGACGGGCATTGTGTGAAAGGGAATCCAGTTGTACCGCTGTATTTGAATACCCGCGGAGTGCTCGTGTCGGTTCAGTGTTCGGATCTTACTTGGCGAACCTTGGGGAACTCGTTCGTGTCAGAAAGCACTTAGGATGAAGTGTGCCTTTTTATGTTCGATACGTTCATTGTGATTCGTTAAGTATTCCAAGTGAAAGGAGTATCGAGACTTGTCGATGAATTTTAATTCCTCTTCGGCGTCCAGCGTGGAATTCTGCAGGAACTTGCTACGTCTGACTAGTTCAAACAAGAGGGTCTATGGGATAAAGACTGATCCAGGATCAACGTACCGATCGTATTCCGACGCTTGTCCGACTACTTATTAATCTCTGGCTACTGTACGCGCGATCCGATCGTAGGACACTTGTTTGGCAAACATTGCGCAAGACCTACTTGGATGTCCCTGACGACCAATCCAAACAAGAGAATTTGTAGGGTAAAGTTTGGGTCCAGGCTTGAAATGTTGATTGTGCGTCGAGGATCGAGTGTTAAACATCGAGGTGTCTAAATATATTCCAGTTCTTCGCTGCCTCCATCGCCGAAGAACAGTTTTCGCTTAGCGACTCTACTTGGCAGAATTATCCATATTCCCAACAGGAAGCATTACAGACAAGATCCGATAGAAGTACGATCCAATTCCGAAAGGTCAATTACATCGCAAGAAACGCCGAAGGAAAGCGGACAGTCCAACTACATTATAATCTTCTTTCTCTTATCGAACCTTTATCTAAGAAACTTATCGTTTGCTCAAGAGAATCAGTTCAAACAAGATCTCCGGATAATATCGAGTCCATTTCCGCGATCGTATTCCAAGAAACATCGAACTCAAGAACAAAAACTGAATTACGCTTCACTTCCGGCGCGGAGCTCGCGCTGAAACCCGCAAAGAACAGAAAAATCCATTTGTGTTGCCTCGAGTATCCGCGTCTGTGAGAACTCTTGCTCACCGGATCCTTGTTTAGACAAACTTTTTTCATTCCTGAGTCGTCGACGTAACAAAGGTGAACAAAGTCGAATGTGACCGGCGCAGGGGAACAATTAAAATACAGCGAAGAGAAACGGAGATCGGGTCGCTTCGCAGTCGTCGAAGTGAACCACGCATCTCGGTGTCCGTGGAGGCGCGACAATCCTTGCGAATTATGCGCCCGAGTGTTGAATAGCGAGCCGGGGGAGCAGTGACCGGGATGTTAGTGAGATTGGGGGTGACATGGGAGCCGGCGACATGAACAGGGAGATACCGAGCAGCACCCTCGCGACTCTCAGGGGGATCCTGGTGAGCTCGTTGTCGAGGGAGAACTTGGGTCCGCACGATCTGCCCATTCAGGAGAACGGGAGGCATCGACCTCTGCGGAAGGTGCACTTTCACGAAGGTACATTCGGATTTTCCGTCGAACGGTACTCGATGATCACTTGAATATTTACCGTCATTCAGGGACCGATGGCGACCCGTTCGAGAATCTAAACCGCTCCCTTGTACTCCCGTTCGGAATATTAAGTGGAGGAAATTCTTCTCGCCAGAGATACGACACGATATTCTAATGAACTCGCGGGGGAAACTTGTTGGGGATTAACCACGTTTGTCTTTAGCTTGCGTTTTTATGAAACTTAATTGATTATGAATGCGTAGTAACCGTTCGCGGTACTGTTATACCGTCTAAAAGTGAGTCTGTCGGTTCAAATTGCATTTATCTATGTTCCTAATTAGTTGTTCTTATTTCTGTCATTGCCAGCTTGGAAATAGACGAATGAAACTATTTAGAATTTTTTGTAAAAATAGAAAAACGTCATTCAGTTTCTGAGTCGAAACGAAAGGATTGAGTGGCACTCATACGGTTGTAATTATATAGGTCCAATCACTTTAGCAAATACAAAGCATGACTTATGTCCAAAGAAACTACCATTCCCTCTAACTACAGAAACATTTATTTACGAAATTCTATTCGAAATCTTCGCCTAAATTGTCCCGACGTTCCAAAGTAAAGAAACGGATTACATTTCATTACGTTGCTAAAATATCCACTGTATCATTTTACGATTATCCCACGCTATCCGACGTTCCCGACCGCAGAAACGTTTCCCCTCCGGCGCATTTGTAAACGAACGGTCGAAACTTATCAGCGGAATTCGTCCGTGCCATTTAAATATAAACGGAGGAAGCGGACGCGGCCATCGGCAGCAACTTTGTCGGCGCGGAGACAGTTTCGCGAAACGATCGGCTCACGACGAAACCGTCGGAAACGCGTTCGACGGGGAGAAAGTTCGGAATGATTCCCGGACGGTCGTTCGATAGTGAAAACCGAGAGCTGGGATGTACGCTCGAGGGGTTTTTACGCGATTCCATTTCGCTCAATTTGCTAAGGCGGTTTACGCGATTCCCGGGAACGCGAGAAACACCTGTCCGAGAAAATTCAAGGCGGAATGAATGGGACCTTGCCGGACGACCGTTCCTCCTATTAGCCGTGAGTCATACAGTCCGCTGATCGATATCCGCCGACGATTATTCGCTGGACGTTCATCGTTCGCGCGCTTTCTATTTCGACGAGCGTTTCCACGGGACACGCGGATCGCTGACTTAACTGTTTCAGGTCAGGTGGGTTAACACTTTGCACTCCGAATGCCTCTCAGTCACTACTCGATTGGTGCATGAGAATTGTAAAATTTCGTATTTAACATATTGTGTAGCGGAACCGAGAAATCTCGTTTTTATTTAAAACGAGCACCATTTAAGGAAATATTCAATTTTATTAGAACTGATTACTCGTTTAACCCTTAGCACTTCAGATGGTTTGTAATCTATCAGCAAAAGTCGTCAGATATTTAATAGAAACAGGAATCTCTAATAAATTTAAGATACTAAGTGAAACTTTAAACCAACGAGTAAAATAAATAAATCATAAATGTAGTATCATAGTTTTAACCCTTAACACTCCAGGTTGTTAATCTATCAGCAACTGCAACTAATTTTTATAGTATTCTATAAATAAAGTATTCTATAAGTAAATCTTTTATTTTTCTTCTTAGTGCAAAATTTGGATGTGTGAGAAATCTAATAATTGTAGGGTAGTTTCTTTAAGATTCATTAAAATATCTAATATTATTCCTGGTGCAATATTGGAGCCTAGAGTTCAAAGGGTTAATACTTATGAAATAATAAGACATTTGAATATTTTTCATATAGTCATCACGAACTTATAAGTTGATCTCGTTGAAAAGTCGGTAGATACAACTGTGGAGGTTTTTGTGATAGTCAACGTGTTAATCATCGGCCGATCGTTTCTGTCTTATGAGCCATTCCATCGGTATTCGAAAGCATTCCGACCAGCACACGGTGCGACCAAACGACCGTTTTCTAGATAAAACTCGATAACTTAGAAAGTATGAGTAATACAAAGAATGCTTTGGTTGTAAGGTATAGAGATAAAGATATGGTGGTTGTATTTTTCTTACATTATGGGGATATTATGTAGTTTGTTCAGTGAGAATAGATACTTTGTGTTTCGATTGTAACGTTGTTACGTGAATAGTCGAATTTCAAGGTTTTGTCTATAGGCCGCAGAGTGTAGCGCTTCGACGTTGTATATTCTTGGGAGATGACTTAATGTTTAGCGAGACCGTACATACAATGGTTTGAATCATTACCTGTTTCTTTATTTGTTTGATCATATTTCTTCATTGCTTACGTTATCGACAAATAACAAGTGAGTATCGAAAATGAAACTAGGATAGACAAAAACTGATCGGTCATCATTCCGCATTCGCGCTTAGTCATCGAGTGATCTCCCAATCGTATCTACTTCCTGGAGCCATTGAGTCATTGAGAAACCATCGGGAACACGGTATCGATGAAAAACTTCGAGTCTCATTCAATGACAAGGAAACTGATATTTGAATGGAAGATGCTTAAACGAATGTTCGAAGTGTGTACACCGCTACACAACTGATAAGATTACGATAATTAATTTATATTTGCTCCGAGGCTACTCCTAGTACTCGGAACTTTATTTCCAAGTAACTTTGTTTCAAGAATAATGATATTAATTAATCGGTGGCTCAGCTGCGCCGTTGGACGGTTAATTATTCTCCAGGGAATAACGGCTTCTTAAGTGAATACTGTTTACAGGAGCACATCCTTCTTGAGCGTCCGAATACGTTTGCATCCGCAATTCCAGTTTGCTAATTTATAAGCTTCATAGCTAACAAACCTGAATCAAATCAAACACGATAGTTATCTTATCCGAGTCTCGCGGAGACTGGTTTCACCTCTTTCATCAAATCAGATCGTGTTACTTCTTAAACGTCTATTTAAGTGCTCCTCGAAGCAGAGTACTCGAGAAACATTCTCACCTGCTTCTTCCGAGTTCGCGAAAAACCTGCAAGTAGAATTTCTAGTATACGTAACTTGCTACGAGTCGAACCGACGCTCATCGTCCGAAAGCGAACGATTCGCTAGGTAAATTTCGCGGAGCTGTCGAAGCTAACGCGCGGCGATAGCGTATCCTTTGAATTCACTCGTTATTCCGCTCACGAACTGCGTTCTGCTTATGAATCGAGGATGACGATCAAACTTTCCACGCGGCCATAACGATCGGCCGAACAAGCCGGGTGCGATTGACGTCCGAACAAAGCTGGCCGGCTCTCCGTTCCGCGGCGCTCCTCGCGAATAAAATATATTCGTGTAATTCTCGTCCGTCGAATTTCTCGGAGTTCCCCGTTGGAGACGTCGCGTTTCCCTCCGGAAAGAGGACGAATGTATGGTCATTAAACCTGGGTTTAACTCATTCCGCAGGGAACAGGCGGGATCTAAGCCCGGCTTAGAACACGCCTACGATCGTCGTTCTTCGTGATATCCTCCGTGGAATCCTTGCTTCGATCTCATTTCACTTTGAGAAATGAAACGGATGAACTCTGTAATTAACTGTTTCTGTGACTCAACCCCTTGCAGTTGAGATTATTCATATTTTCTTTATTTTACCTCGTACTTGTGTGAAACGCAGCTTGTCTTTGAAACGGAATTTCGAACAGTAATACGTTTATTATGAATTTAATTCTGCATTTGGAAAGTATAAGTATATCATTTATTCCCTTGTAGCGAAAATAAAAAGAAAGAATTATTAATTATTTGTTATCACAATGTTAACGTGACACCATTATCTAATTATTTAGATAGAATTATAGAATTGTAGAATTATAGAATTATAGAATTATAGAATTATAGAATTAATTATTCTACAAACAAGATTTACGGAACGAGTCAATTTGACTCCTATTGAATTTTATAAGCATTATTTAATAAATCTTTGAGTAGATTTTTATTAACGTAGTTACGCAAATATGTATTCTAATTGTCTACTCTCAAATAAATGAACGGATAACAATTTTTCTAAGAACAATAGAACAAATTACGGTAAATGTCAGTGAATCTTGAGTTAAAGTACACGAAAGCAGCATATGAAGCTAAATTATACATCGACTCTTTAAACAACAGAGAAAAAGGAGAAACTACACCAAAATCTAAAAAACTATCTAGAAAACTAGACCAAATCGAATTATTATAGTTCACTCAATTAAACGATGATTATATGAAAATATTTCTATATTATAAATAACGTTATCTAATATGGTGACATCCAGCTAGATGAATGTGGAATAGTAATGCAATTCGATTAAATGATTTGATATTATATTTTTTCCATTTTGTGTATTTCCCTTTATGAAATTGTGCGGCGTTCAACGTGTTAAGGAAAAAAACAAAATTATAGGCATATTCTATATCAATCTTTGCTTCAAAGTATAATGATCGATAACAGAAGAGTAATATTTAATTCGTATTCAAAAAGATCAAGCAAACGTCCATGGTAGTTCAATTCTGTTTGAAATCTGCACCACGTGTCTACGTTATTGTAAGGCAAAGGGTTAATCATCGTCTACAACGTAGTATTCCGAATACGAACATTTCATCTCAAAACATCTTTCCCAGCACACATCAGGGGCGAAACAATCTAGACGAAAATTTCGGCGAATCTGCTCGCCAATTAAATTAATTAAGAAGTCGAACAAAACGTTCTCCCAGTTCCCGTTGCGAAATCTTTCAGCTGTAACTCGCGTGTCCTCGCCGTGTTCAGTAACGCCGCGGCGTTCCCCGTAACGAAGCCGCGTCCGCAGCCAGCGAAACATCGGAGTTGTTTTTCCGAGAAGACACAATTCACACCCGAAAGCATGAACAATGAGAACCGGGCCGGAGGGGCCGGCTGCAAAGGCCGCGGATCTTTGATTAAAATGTTCTTCGGCCGCGACGAGAGGTTCCGCGAATTGAATTCATATCCAACCACTGTGCAGTCTGACCCCAAAGAACAGTCCGTTTCCACTGGCC